GTGCTAACAGAACCGCTAAAAATTCCAGGCAGTTTATGTGGAGTCTGGACTGCTTCAGAGTCCAAACCCCCCTCACTGCCGCACCATCGCACAGAGCCCCCCACCCCACCAGGGAGGCGTCTGTGGATACCACCTTGCGAAGAGGCAGCGGTGAAATGCAGCTACTCTGTTTTCTGAGAGACGCGCTCTGCCCGACAGGGAGCATATTTCTAACCCGAGGAAAGAAAACTGCTGACTCTGAGTCAATAAGCTTTTCTGAAAATTTACAGAAAAACCCAGAGCCTGAATGTGCGACAGAACCTGACACAGATACTCTGTAGCCTGCTCCTTGGAGCTGGCTATCAGAGCCCAGTCGTCCAGGTAAGCTAACAGGCGAACTCCTTTCTCCCTGAGAGGAAATAGCGCTGTTTTGACACATTTTGAGAATTTGCGGGGTGCCAGCGACAGACCAAATGGCAGCACCAGGTATTCGTAGGCTACGCCTTCAAAGGCAAACCTCAGAAATTTCCTGTGGTCTGGGTGAATCGCTACATGAAAGTAAGCATCTGTTAAATAGATGGTCGCAAACCAGTCGCCTGGGCTGACCGAATGCTGAAGCTGCCTGAGTGTTAGCATTTTGAACCTGTATGTTCGTAGAAACTTGTTTAACGCTCTCAGGTCTAAAATCGGACGGAGGCCGCCATCTTTTTTCAGAACGATAAAATAACGGCTGTACCAACCTTTGTTTATGTCCGAAGAGGGGACCAAACGTATGGCTCCTTTCGCCAGTAGCGTGTTTATTTCCTTTCTCAAAACCACGTCTGCTTTGTTTCGAACAACAGTGTTTAACACGGTGTTGAAACGGGGCGGCCGAATGCGTAACTGTAGTCGGTAACCCATGGCAACAGTTCTCTCTACACAAGGGGATAGTGTGCATGCGCGCCAGAGAGTCGCGTCGCTAGGCGACCGACTTGTGTTAGCGAAGTCCTGCTGCCCTCTGTCGCATTAGAGAGGTGCAGCATTATATGACTATCGCTCACAACTTTTCTGATTTTGTTGATTTTTTGTTTGTGAAGTGTTTCCTTTATTGACACATTCAACAAGTTTACACAACCATTTTGTACATTTACATTCTGAACATTTAGCGCACCCAAACTGGGGGCTTTTGGTACAAACAGTGTGTGTGTGGGGTGGGACTGGTGCTTGGCAGACTGTGTTATAGAAACGCAGCGCCTCTTGGGGCTGGTTTCCTGAAAAGTACAAACAAAATGTCGCTTGGGCGGCAGCCGAAAACTGGCGAACGTCTCCCTGGTCCCGAAGTCCCTGCAGTGATGGTCCCACAGTTAGGAGGTCTGCGTCTTCTTCGTCCGAGGCGTCGCGCCTTTCTGAACACCCTGGGGAGGGGGGCCTTGCACCAAGCCGACTGGCGGGGGGGCTTTGCTCCAAGCCGACTGGCAGGGGGTTGGCCGTGGTTATGAGGCTGCGGTGGTTGGGTGCCTAGGCTCCCGGGCAGCACCGTTCTCTTCGCCGGAGGCGGCTGTGCAGCCGGCTTCTGAGTGCTGGTCTTGGGTCTCAAGTCCCGTCTAGGGATGATGCAGAGCAGAGCTTCTGCCTGCTTCTTCCTCAGCTCGAACTTTGCCTGGATAACGTCGAGAGACTGACCAAATAACCCAGCCGCCATAACTGGTTCATCCAGATATGTGGCCCGGTCTCTGTCGGGGACATCAGAGAGTGTCAACCACAAATGTCTCTGCGCCACCACGGTTGACGCCATCCCTCTGCCCAGGGAGAGCGCTACGCCGCGGGACGCACGGAGGATGTAGTCCACGGTGAGTCGGATCTCATTTAAGAGAGGAAGCAGAGGACTCTCAGCCGGTACCTGGGCTCCGAGCTCCGCCAGAGCCATAGCCTGGTAAGTCTGGAGCATGCTGGTGGAGCTCAGGCCGCAAGCGGCGGTGGCCTGAGCTTTGTAGATTTTTTTCTAACTGCGCAGCAGAAAATCTACAGGGCTTGGAAGGGAGCGTGGTGGGCCCGCTCACACCATGGTTGTAAGACGGGGCCAAATACGCTGCCAGGGACGGCTCCACGGGAGGTATGTTTACCAGTCCAGCCTTTTCAGCTCCTTCCAAGTCCAAATACGGTCCATAGCCGGGCACTGTGATGCGGGTGGACAGAGGTTTGGTCCAGCAGGACGTTAGTTCCGAGACGAAGTCTGGGAACATGGGAAGGCGGTTTTTCATTGTGGTCGGTTCAGTGGGGAGAAAAAAATCCAGCGAACCGCAACGGTTTTTGTGCAGAATGGGGAGCAGGCCATTCCACCTCCAGTTTCTGAGCCGCGCGACGACACAAAGAGAGAAAAGACGTGTCCTGGTTTGCACCCGCAGCAGCGGGGACTTCTGGACTCAGACCGGGTTCATCGTCGTCTTCCGACAGACCATGTATATCCAGGCCGATATCCAGCACGTCCTCCCCTCCGTGGTGGAGGTCCAGATGAAACTGGGAGGCCTCCTCCTCTTCGTCGGCTAACCCCTCCATATA